AAAGAGTGTCTGAAGTGATTAGTGCTGGACAAACACTTCTGTCCTTAGTGCCTCTTGTCCTTTTAAATATCCAAACCCATCGCAAACAATGGGAGACCTTTCCAGTCACTTCAGTAGAATTGTATCAGGTGCTTATTGTGGATGTGGTCTGTTATTTATATTTCCTTCATCTTGAAGACATCATTTCTGGATTGCTGTCCTATAAGAGCTACATCTCATCTTTTTCCTGGCTCAGGCCAGAATGCATTTGGGTGGCAAACCTGGCCACAGAAAGCAGAAGACAACTCTTCCTCCAGCTGAGTCAGCAGAGCTGCCCAAAGTCATGGTGCTTCAGCCCTCATGTTGTGAACACATCTCAGATACAGAGGTGACCTGTTAATGACTGGTCTGATCTATTTACTAATACTGATGAATGTCCGTGTACAAGGAACAGTAGCCAGATCTTTCACAGTGTGTTTTCCCAGGGGTGCAACATTCTGGTTAAAGCTTCAGTCTTCAGGTGTTGCAGAGAAGTACAAGACACTGTTGAGCAGGAAGATGTAGTAGGCCTAGTGAAATGCTTCAAAGGTATCACCTTAATCTTCAAAACTTCCTAAGAAATGTTCTTTAAAAATAACACCATGGAACCCCACACTCCTTATCAGTCTGTTAACACAGCTCTTCTTTTGGGTCAGTGTTTCAAGTGTGCAGGCTTTGATACGCTCTCTATCCCACGCTAACTTGTCTATCTATCAAACTCCTAATCATCATATTAGATGGCAAATGCATGGTATTCTAACCATGCTTTTGCTTGGCTCTTTGTCATCCTGTGCTGCGCTTCTTACCTGAACAAACTGTGATTCCATCTGGCAGCATCCTGCACATTTAGCCGCCAGATAGACACAAGCTCAAATGCCTCTGAAGTGCATCAGCTGGGACCAGGTTTAGAACACAGTAATTAGAGGCAGAAAATGAGGGTGCATAATCACTTGCTCCCTCCTGCCCCTAGCTGCTGCTCAGACAATTAATTCTCTCCACTGAAGCATTAGCTCATGCAGCCGCCACTGCAGATACCGGCACCCTGAGCTGTGGCAAATCCCGGGCTGCCTGCCGGAGGATGTGTGCCCAGCCCTGCTGGGACACCGGTCCAGGCTGCCGTTGGGCGTCTTGCAATTCCCCGGGGCTAAGGAGCTGCCTAACGGCTCAGTGTCAACTTGGGAAAAATCTGGTTCCTCTTAACTTGCTAGGGTCTGGGGCAGGGAAAGCCAGGAGTAAAGCTGGGTGGGTGGGAAGTATCTAAGGTCCTTTAATAAGCTTTTCCCTGTATTGTAGACAAAGGAAATGGAGTTTGTTGCATTCCCTGAACCTCCTCAACCTGCAGCAATGCCAAGTGAGAAATGCTAGGCCAAGGACACAAAATGCTTCCCAAACTCGGGCCATCCCTGACTCCCAGAGAAGCCGCACAGGGTGATTTCGGTTTCACCGTGGTGGTGGTGTGCCAGTGCCATGCCTGGAAGCAGAGATGAGGCTGGGATCCTGTGCCAGCACATAGGCGAGAGATGGGGCTGTTCCTGGGTGACAAGGCAGCCCCATCCATACCTCTGGGGAGGATGCTCCCTGACACCCCCTTCCCCTTGCTTATACCTCCAGTCTGCTTCCTGCCTAATTGGCAAGTTGTTTCTTTGTGCAAAATCGTTTCCTTGTGCGTGGGGATGCAGGCTCTGCTGGTTAGCAAGGGATCGAAAGCCGCAAGAAACAGACATCAGCACAGCTCCACTGCCGCTCACCCCCTTCCATTTATGCCTGTGGCTCCTCAGCAGATCAAGCTAACGGCACTTTCCAATTAAAGCATGAATATGGATGTGTTGATTAGAATCTGGGACATAGGAGCTGATTAACTGATTGAAGCTCCCAAGCATTAGCTTGGTTTCCAGAAATTAAGGGCTGTATTTGGCTGG